GTTTGCACCAATCTTAAAGTTGCTTAAAAAGCCTATCCCCGTATTAGCTTGCAGTTCAAACATATTGAATAAATTGATTTAGATACAAAGGACTTCATTATTCCTTTTTTGGATAACAGCAACAGGACGGCACAAAATTTAGACATTGAACATGAACCAACTATTTGCGGCCAATTTCCTACACACTAGTTCATTGCATCTTAAGGAAATTTGCTCTCATGTTGTTTCCAGTGTCACATTAGAAGCATTTACATTTCTGCTCTTATCTTCTGATAGCAACTGTTCTATTGCTTTTTTTGCACCTGTTGTTGGTTGGCTGAAAACTTTTTCTACAGGAAGTTACCTGCTCCTGAAAAACTGAAGCTGGTCTCAGGTTCTTGTTACCTGCCTCATCCTGCTAAGGAGGCGACTGGCGGCGAAGATGGTCACTTCATTTGCATTGATGAACAGGCGATTGGTGTGGCAGATGGTGTTGGTGGTTGGGCAGATCACGGTGTTGATGCTGGACTATATGCGAAAGAACTAATGAGTAAATCAATGAGTGCTATCAAGGATGAACCAGAAGGTGCAATTGACCCATCAAGAGTTCTGGAGAAAGCTTTTACAGGCACCAAAGCAAGGGGATCATCAACTGCTTGCATCATCACTCTTAAAGAACAGGTTAGCCAGATTTTCTGACTTTACTTAATCGTTGTTCATTGTAGTCTCCTTCCGTTGCCAGTTGATTTATTGTGCTGAGTAAACACAAATTGTTACTATGTAGTTTCTTTGGACCATGTACTCCCTCCGTTACTAAATATTTGTCTTTCTAGAGATTTCAACAAGTGACTACATACGGAGCAAAATGAGTGAATCTACACTCTAAAATATGTCTATATACATCCGTATGTGGTAGTCCATTTGAAATCTCTAAAAAGACAAATATTTAGGAACGGAGGGAGTATAACACATTAAGGCGCCTCCCACATGATCGGAAGAAAAAGGGGCCGTTGATGTAGTAAAACGAGGATAGCTGAAATTGCACTTTTGGTGCTACATTCTTGGATCTCTATGGTGCTGTGGTATTCTCGTCCATGAGTATAGAAGTAACTGTATTGATAAATCTCGCATTCATCTGTTTGGTCATGTCTGAGCACTTTCAATTCAACAGAACTAGAAGTTCCTGATTCATATTTCTGGAAAGGAACACATTTACTTTGCAGTCCTTTTTTCTAGTTTAGTGATGCTTACTATCATGCTATTTAAACTTGCAGGGTCTTCATGCTGTAAATCTTGGGGACAGTGGCTTCATAGTGGTCAGAGATGGCCGCACTGTTCTCAAATCACCTTCACAGCAGCATGATTTTAATTTTACTTATCAGCTCGAGAGTGGGGGTGGCAGTGATCTTCCAAGTTCTGCCGACGTGAGTACATCCTGACTTTGCAGTGATCTTCCTTTATCTTTGAATCCTTGCTTGGAGAACTCTGATACAACATCAACATATTAACTCAGAAGTCTTCTCTGGAGTATTAAGTTTATAGCATCGAAATATTTTATAGCATGACGCCCTGTACTCACTTATGTAGGTATTTCACTACTCGGTTGCTTCTGGTGATGTTATCATTGCCGGCACGGATGGGCTTTTCGACAACCTGTACGACAACGAAATCACTGCCGTCGTTGTCGAGGCCCTCAGGAGTGGCCTCGGTGCCCAGGGCACAGCTCAGAAAATCGCCGCCCTTGCTCGGGAGAGAGCAGAGGATAAGCACAGGCAGTCACCCTTTGCAGCCGCTGCTCAGGAGGCTGGGTACAGGTACTATGGAGGGAAGCTCGACGACATCACGGTCGTGGTGTCATACGTGATGAGCGCAGCAGCTGTTTAATGCGATGATGCTTCTATTTTCTGTTGTAATGTACATAACCTTTGCCCCAAACTCATGGGAGCTCCTACGCCCCGGGGAGTAGATTCCTAGGCTGGTTTATTCGAGTGTTGGGGATCTCCTGACACCTTAATGTTTTAGAGTATTGAGATTGCGCTTTGGCTCGGGAAATTGTGGCGAAAAACCATGTCTGCCCCCCTTCTCATTTAGCACTACATGAGATGCTTCTTGTAAACCCATCCTTGGTGGAAGGAGAACCACCACCTGCTGGCAAAGTTTTGTTGTATTCATATATTCGGTGCTACTTAGTTGCTAAACATGTTTGCCTTATCGTGCTGCTGAGAGATAGGCTGTTGTGAGTTCTTGCTGTGCGTTAGCTCACCAAACTGCTGCGAGCAATTCCCTTAAAAAGGTGTTGTGAACAATTGAATCAAAATAATGTATCAAGGCAATTTTATTTACATGCTGTCGCACGGTGTTTGTGCCGTCACTTTCGAGATCTCCAAGTGGACAGTTTTGCTGGCATAGCGAAGCTTTGCTGTTTCTGCCGTGCCGCATTAGTTGAGACTTGGAAAGCATTGTTTCTTTTGCGAGAATTAAGATAGCGTCGCTATGCAGCAAGTGTTTCGGAGCGGATTTACGGCAAAAGGTTTGAGTAGAGAAGGGCGTGTGATATTCGTAAGTTCGTCTCTTTAAGCTGGACTGGGTTCTGATCTGAAGCGTGCCGTAACGGTCATCTTCACGTCAGGTACTGGTCTGAGTTCTGACCTGAAGCGCCGTTAACCGTAGTCCTCAGGTCAGGTACTGGCCCGAGTTCTGATCTGAAGCGCCGTTAACCGTAGTCCTGATGTTACCGGTCGCCCTCAGGTCAGGTCTGAACCGTTAAGGGTCGTTGTCACCCTTCAGGTTAGGTCCGTCTGTTGAGAGTCGTCGTCAGGGTCAGGCGTTCTGGGCCAGCTCTTTGCTGCTTCTAGCATTCAGCGCCGATTTGAGCATGCCCTTTACGCCAGATACCTGCCTCTGCACTTTTCTTCTGTATTTGTAGTCATCATGCAATATGGCAAATCTGGCCAACTTCTTCAAAGAAAAACAGATTTTTGTTGCTCGTTGTGGGGTTCAGACGAAGGACCTGAATGTGAGAACAACATTTGCATGCATGGTAGGCCAGGGACCTGAATGTGAGAACAACATTTGCATGCATGGAGGTCGGTAACAGGACCAGTTGCCATCACCGAAGTTCTCACTTTCTTGATCAGAGAACACACTGCCTGAAACTGCTTTTGGCTCCCGCTCGCTGTGCAACACATGAACCAGACAAAGGACTGGAATGCAAAACCAGTTTACATCCTGCAAGCCTTGCCAGGGACCAAGATTTAATTTGAATTAATTGGCAGGGGCCGCGTGAACGCGTGCCCCCTCTATCACAAATTATGACGTTCATTCTCCCACTTGGGGAGATGATGGGCCAACGCACCCACCAAGTGCAATGCGGGCCATTGACCCAGGCCACGAGCCTTCTTGATCGCTCGTCGACCCTGTCCAGGTAAGTAAGGAGAACGTAGCACCTCGCCCTCCTCTTAGGCCAACTCCACCGCGCGACCCCAAACGAACGTCCGTTTTGTCCGGATTCTGTCCGTTTAGGTAGCGATTTGGGGTCGTGTCCGGGCGTGTCCTGGGATGCGGTGGCCGTGCGCCCACCGCGCGGACGCATCCTTTTGCCCTATCCTGTCCGTCAGAGCCAAAAATGCCCAAATTTTCATCAAAACTAGTTTACAACCCAAATATTTGTCTGAAAATTAAAATAATTTTACAACCCAATTGAAATTGTCTTTAATAAATATTTTTACAACCAAATCGAAATTGTCTTGACTAAACATACAATGGACCAATACATCTATTGGTTGCCAATGTGATCCCACACGTGCTCAACCAAGTCATTTTAAAGATTCAAATGAAAGTGCCAATCATGCATCTCATGATGGAATTGAGCAAACTGTTCAAATGTGGCCGGGTCTTGGTGCAGGGGCTCAATATTTTCACCTTGATAGTCAAAATCCTTGGTCGAAGATACTCTCATCACGCTCGTCCTCGACGATCATGTTGTGCATGACCACACAAGCAGTCATCACCTCCCAAAGCTTCCTTTCATCCCATGACAGTGCAGGGTTTCGAACGATACCCCACCGGGATTGAAGCACACCAAAAGCACGTTCCACATCCTTTCTAACACTCTCTTGCATTTGGGCAAATCTCTTTCTCTTCTCACCTTGGGGTTTCGAGATTGTCTTCACAAAAGTTGACCACTGAGGATATATACCATCTGCTAGATAGTATCCCTTGTTGTAATGGTGGCTGTTGATCTCAAAGTTGACAGGTGGGGAGTGGCCTTCTGCAAGCCTCGCGAAGACTGGAGAACGCTGCAGCACGTTGATATCATTGTGAGAACCTGCCATGCCGAAGAAAGAATGCCATATCCAAAGATCCTGTGATGCCACCGCTTCTAATATGACAGTGCACGCCTTGACATGCCCTTTGTACTGACCCTGCCAAGCAAATGGACAGTTCTTCCACTCCCATTGCATACAATCTATGCTGCCAAGCATGCCTGGAAAGCCTCTAGCTGCGTTGGTCGCCAACAAACTCTCTGTATCAACGGCAGTTGGCTGCCTCAAGTACTCTGGGCCAAACACCTCGATCACAGCCTGGCAAAACTTGTACATTGATATCAGACATGTTGTCTCACTCATTCGCACATACTCATCCACCAGATCGCCTGGAATTCCATATGCAAGCATGCGGATGGCCGCGGTGCATTTCTGGTAAGAGGAGAATCCAAGCTTGCCAAGGGCATCCGTTTTGCATTCGAAGTATGGGTCATGAGCAACCACTCCCTCTCGGATACGATTGAACACATGCCTTGCCATTCGAAAACGGCGACGGAATTTATCCGGCTTGAAGAGCGGGGTGTTGGCAAAGTAATCGACATAGAGCAGGGCGTGCCCTCTCTCCCTGTTGCGGTCCAGGTTGGGAGCACGGCCAGGGAGTGACCCCCTGTACCGAGGAAGCTGCCGTTGAATGTGGTCGTGAACGACCAGTGCAGCCACCACAATATCTTCATCATCCGACGATGAATCGTCCGATGAACAAAGAAAGTGATGGAAGAAAAACTCGTCTCCACTGTCCATACCTTTGTGGGCAAAATGCCGAACACCTTGCGGGCGTGGTGGCGAAGATCACCTCGACGCAGCAGGGGTGGTTGCCGTCCGGCTACTGGCCGCTGTGGAGCTCTCGTCGGGAGCTGCCGAGGACGCCGTGCTGCGTCGCCGACGGTCCTGTCCCCTCTGCGACCGGCAAAGCGTCGACGGCCGAACCTCCGATCGACGGCCAAAACTACGGCCACAGCACGGGCGTGGTGGCGGCCATGTCGAGAAGTGATTTGGTAGGGACGGCTGGAGGCTGCGCGGTGAGGAGGCGGCCGGAGAATAGCGGCGGTGCCGGCGGCGGGGCGGGGCGAGAGAGAGGGTGAAATCGTTGGGAGCGGAGGGACTGCTAGTGTCCCCGACAGGCGGGCCAGGGGGGTCAAGGGCGTGCGTCCAAAATGTCCGCGCGCGTCCGTTTCACCCCAAACCGAGCGCAAGTTTGGGCTGGGATGGGTCGAAAACGGACGGAATCCGGACATTTGTTCGTTTGAGGCTGTGCGCTGGGCTGCGCTATTCGTCTGTTTTACCCCAAACGAACGGGGTCGGACAGAATAGAGTCGCGCGGTGGAATTGGCCCCCCTCGATTCCCCTCGGCTAGGCGAGGTGGTACTAAAAACTGAAGAGCAGCGGCAGCGGGCGTGAAGGGAGTCACGGGGAGACGCGCGATTAGCTAGCTTCAGAATTTAGTGGGCTCACGTTTGACCTATCAGGCCCTACATACAGCAGCAAGACGCGGGCCTTGAGAGAGTACCAGTTTTGTGCTCTCGCTGTGCAATCGTGTTGCTCACCACTAAAAAAAAAGAGCAAAGTGTAATCGTGTTGCTCTCTCCTCTACGAAGAATGAGCCATGGCAATTGTTTCCTCTCTAAAAGGAAACAGGTACATGACAATTCAACAAAAAAATCAGGAAAATTATAAATAAACTCATGTGCATTTAAAGTTTCTTCATTCGTTTCTTTTGGAAGAGTTTCCTCTCAGTTCTCTGTGTGGAAGTTTTTTTTGTTGTTATGGTGAAAACGAAATATGTTTAGCTTTTAGTGGTAGTTGAGGTGTGTGATGGTGCTTTCCTTCAATAGCTAAATCTACCATGCTAAAAAAACATACACATACCGGTAGACATGTACTCCCTCCGTCTCATAATGTAGTGCATGTAGATTTTAAAAAAAATCAAACCTCACAAACTTTGACCAAGTTTTCATTTACATCAAAAATGCCAAACACAACATATATAATTAGATTCATCATAAGATGCAGTTTCATATTTTATATTTTTGATATTGCAAAGTTTGACTTTTTTAAAATCTATATGCACTACATTATGAAACGGAGGGAGGTCTACAATATTGAGTCTGTGTCCAGGTAGTCATATTCCAGATCATGTTGAGTTGCTCACCACTAAAAAAAATTCCGGAGGCCGACATAAGCCAATTGGCTTCCCCGAGGCCGATGCCGTATTATTTTTGAAATAAATCTAAACAGCGCAATAATTCTTAAATTTACTAAAAATAGTGCATTATTTAAAAAAATAGCCTAGTATGAGTTGTTCAGATGGGGCATTCTTCCTTTTCTTTCCAGCCCATTTTTAATCTGATTTGATGCAAAGTAAACTAACGCAATAAATAGTGTATATTCTCTCCGGTTGGGGATCAGTAGACCTCCCATCTTCTGTACAACATAACGGCAATCCAAAGTTTGCAATACTTCTACGAATACATGGTTTTTGCACAATGTGTGGGCTATTTGTACTCGACATGCGCACACCTCGGCATTGAGAGCGTTGTATGATGATTTCACGCTCCTGAT